GGCTGAGTCAACCCTGAGCAGGTGAGATTTGAACCGCTGAACTGCAGATAGCAGTCAGCTGAAGTGGCCTGCAGTACTGCACTCTACCCACTGCGCCACCTCGGCTCTTCTTTACTTAATCAGTCACTAATATCCCCTCCCCACAGCATTGCCTGGCTAAGTAAATTCAAAATTGGGTAGTCTCCACTACATGTACAAAGTATGTGCTATAAAGCAAAACTGCATGCTTCTTTCTCTTTGTAGTGTTTGGGGTGTTTTAAATTTATTTTATTAGCCACAAGCTCTGGATCTTTCTCTCATAGTCTGCAAACATCTGCTGACAGTATCTGCACAAAATCAAGGTACATTAAAAAAAAAAAACCCTAAAGATGCAGAACCATGAGAGAACTAAGGCTGTCACATACTTTATTTAACTACCACCTGACATAAGTATAGTTAGAAACTTTTCAAAAGTTGATTCCCTGGTTAAGTAACCAACTGGGTAAGTAAACCTCACCTGAACAGCTTGCAAAACAGCACCCAATCATATAGCAGAAATGCCTAATTTAGTTTTTATTTATTTCATATTTCTAAACCGCCCGATTCCCTATGATCAGTGTATGATTGCCAGTTGGTCTACCAATTTCATCTCAATTTGAAGGCAGATCACGATGGCAATTGGACCCTGGGCTCAGAGTCAAAAGGCGTCCAGCAGAATCACCTTGCAGTTATGCCAGGATGCTGCTGCCCTCTTTGGAAAGTGGATGGACATCTGCTTGTTAGCAATTGCCTTGTAGTACCCCCTCTGCCCTTCTCTCAGCAACACCCTTTTGTGCCAGGTAAAGAACGGGGCGTTTGTAACAAGGCACTGTTACGGGGCTTATTTGAGACAGAGGATAAATCCTAGAGAGTCATCTTGAGTTTTGCAAATGATCTCTTTTGAGCAATATCATTAATAAAATTTAGCTTTACTTCATCACTGGAATAAAAAGTAAGTTCTATCTTTTATATTAGTCAACAGATGTAGCCAGCAGAGTGACTACTGATCAATAGAAGATAACACACTTTGCATGCCAAAGATTCTAAGCTGGTTGACTCTCATTTTTGTTTTTAAAAACGTAGGAATGATATAGAAAAAGCTGACATTCTGGCACTCCATGGTGGCCATATAGTCAAATCTAATACAAGTTAGCCTCCTAGATTTATAATGCATGAAACTGGTTCTGACTCATTCATCGGTAATCTAAACAAAACAAAACCCACATCAAACTCTACATAAAAGTAATTGGGATTTTTGAATTGAACAGGAAGGGAGCACTCCAGAACCCAGAAACCCAAATTCTGAGTTCACTGCACTGAGTTCAGTTTATCACCTCATGTGCCTTAAAAGAGACATCACCTCCCATGGACCTTGTTTTAGACTTTTTGTACAAGAAAAAGTGGTTATTGAAAATTATGTTCTTAATGAAAATAACAAAAATTATTAACTAAGAGGAAATACGTAGATGTCAATATACTGTTTTAAGGATGGATTCTACTTCCTGAAGACTAAAAAGTTGGTCTTTTTCTTACATGGACCAAAAGGAGATGTCATTATAGACTGTCAACATTGTGTGAAAACTACTGGATTCCACATGATCATATTGGACTGTTTTAGATTCTACAATGCAAGACTGAGGCTTTACATTCTTCCTTCATTGTTGTTAGATGGGGTTCCAGTGGATTTGAACAGCAACTGTATTCTCAGACAAAAGCATCTCCTTTTTCTTAGGTGTGGACCCCCACTTATTTGTCCCCCCCCCCAAAAAAATATGGAAGACAGGAAAAATGCAGAGAATTGGAATACAGAGGATTGGCCGCTAGAAAGGAAATAAACAATGTCTTCATAACACACCTTTACAAAAATTAGACTGAGGATTACAACTAAAAAAGGTCATGCAGACCAAACATATTCACGAATGTTTCAATATCTAGCAGGGCTTTTTTTCCATTTCTTATATCTTGGTTTAAAATAAGAACCAGTTGCCAGCCATTTTCCAATTTAATTAGATGTACGTGGGGAGGGTGGGTCCCCTTCCCAGGAAAGGGGAGAGGGTGTCTGAGCTAATAGTTTGTGTTTCTACACCCATATACACAAGCTGGTTTGAAAAGCAGGAAAATAATCTCATTCACACTTTCCCTTGGATGCTCTTTTTTTAATGCAAGGTATAAATAAAGAAATAAATCCTAAAAGAAGTAAGCAAATAATAAATGTCTGCATTAGGAGCTACATCTCTTTTTCAAACCCAGCACAGATCTTGTTCCTTTGATCTTTCCTTTCAGACCACTGCCCCCTCCAAAAAAATAAAAATAACTGATTATCTTCTTAAAACAAAGGGTTTTATCACCTTACAAGCAATCTCTTCTGCTAATGAAAAAGGCTAGAGGTGGCCTCTCAAGATTTTTCTCCTCCTCTTCCTGCCTTAAAGAACAGGATCAGCCAAAGAACCTCAACCTAGTAGTGAGATCTTACCTTCTGGAAATCTAAATGCAATTCCTTGAAAGGGGAGGGGGGGAGCGAATCAGCCTTCATGAAATTGTTGAAAAGTAAAAATTGATTGTTATGAAATCCGATTCTCACCCGCCCAGTGCTTAATGAGCCCATTCCTTATTCCTCCCTGCAACATTATAATGCCGTAAAAAGAAAAATAAGACACACAGAGAGAAAAATTAAAAATGAAGCTGAGGCGCTGCTTCAACTCCTGATTTGCAAGCACTAAAAATGGCAATGCCATTTACCTGTGAAAGAATTATCTTGCACACAGGCAGCTGTGGATGCAGCAGGCAGAGGAGAAGAATCAAAATTTTATGATCCTTTCTGGGTGTTATTATTTGTCGGTTCTAAGAAGAAATAAGGTACTTATAAAGTTCCAAACCACCACCAGAAAAGGAGTGCGAGATAAGAGTTGGTTCGTTGTTTTTTTTTAAAAAAATACTTTTTAAAAACATGGCAGCTGATTTGGTGGAAGGAAGAAAAATATTCAAAGCCTAAGGGGATGTTGGCAGAAAAAAGCAAAAAGTCTGGGTAAAAAGGCCCCTGCAATTATTTAATATCACTTCCATTAAGTGCTTCTTTATTCAGCTTAATTGGATAAATTGGAGGCACAGGCCTCCAGGTAAACAGTTAGTGGGGAAAGTATATCCTCGGTTTAACAACAACAGAACAATATTTCCAGGCTAACCTATTTATAAAGCACTTGGTGTGTTGTCTTATAAGCAAACTAACCTGGAAGCATATTGTCTGCAGCAACACAATCGCCTCTCTTTTGTGTGTGTGCGCGTGTAATAGAGGAAATGGTTTGCTCAGGGAGGGGGGGTGCATCTCCTTTTTCATCCCTGTTGCTTCAGAAAATGGGCGCTAGTGGCTCATAAGATCAGGAGGGAGGCAACCAGGTTTTGTGCCAGGAAGAGGCTTGCATATACAAAGCCAGCTCTTGGATCCCCTGATTTGTTTGTCTCTGCCTAGCCAAAATTCTTCCCTAAGGAAATCTAGGAGCTGGCCTGGAAAATCTCCTGGGGAGACTAAACAATGGATCAAAGGCTTCGCCACACCTGAGGCTGGTAGAACTAAATTCACAATTAGTAAAAAAAAGAGGTAGGGAAGATCAATGCTTTGCTTAAAATTACTCTTGTTTAATTCGGATGCCAGGAATAACTATGAGGTTGGAGAAAGGCCAGGAACGGCATCAGAAAAAAAGCTTGCGCCCCTCTTCTAACCCCTGGCTGGAGCTGTGCTCTGGGGGGGAAAAAAGTGATGGTCTGATAAATCACGAATTGGAATTTAAACAACGTCTTGGATTGCGTTGGGGATCTGGCGAGGTGATCCGTTCCATACCTCCTAGGAAATCCTGCTACACGTTATGTGTATATATGTGGGATGCAGGGCACTTCCACGCAACCCTTCCCAAGAATACATCGATTGGCATTTCGGTGGGCGGGCTCACCCATACAAGTATATCACACACTGCCTGTCCACTATGAGCTTGCGTGGTCGCCGCACGGTATATTCACGCACACGAGCCATCCACGGTACCTCAAAAACGGTCATTTCCCCACGTATCAACACCGCCTTATCATTACCACAAGGCACGGATCAACCCAGGCCCGCACAACAAGCTAGCGGGGAGCGCACCGGCCACGTGCCTGCGTTTGTACACACAACCAGTAGTACGTGACGGCGCAGCCGAGCTTCAACAGTTGTACCCGCGGGGCCCGAAAAGTAACGGTAGCCTATTCCCAGCCGAGCGGAACCCGACCGCCGCTCCACGAGGACGTCCCGGGGCACGAAGGCGTGCAAAAGTCGCATTGCCGCCCTCGGTTGGCTGGCTTTCCGCCGCGGCTGCTCGAAGGGGACGCGCGGGTGTTTTGCTTTCGGCCAAGAGACGCGAGGGGAGAGAGCGCGTTTCCACCCGGGCTTCCACCTCAACTGCCCCACGCCCCGCCGATCTGCAGGCGAGGAGGAAAACCCGATCCGGCAGCCCAGGCGATGTTTTCGCGAGCCGCCAGACAGATCGTCGCCCGCCAGGAGGTGTTTTTTTTTAAACAGCTCGGATCGCGCCGGAGGAGCAGACGGCTTGCTAGCTGCCTAGGCGGTTTGCGCCCCGCGCGAAGGGAACGGCACTCCCCCCCCACACACACACACATACGCTTCTCCCACCCAAACGCGCTTCTTCCCGCCACACCGGTCCCCCCAGACATCAGCGTCACGCGCGGAACTTTGGAGAGTCGCGTCGAGTCTCCTCCGTTCGCTTCTTAGCAAACGCAGAGTCGAGTCAAAGTTAGGAAAAGAGTGTCGTCGGGGGAAAGCTGCCGGCTAGTTCCCGATCGTACGGGGCGCTCTCGGCTTCTCGACGCCCCGCTCCCTTTTGCTCCCGCTGCGAGGTTGCCGTCCCCGGCCACCGCCAACTTCCCCTCCCTCGCCCGGCGCTTCCCCGCGTCAGCCAGTCGGCTCCCGCCCGCGGTCGTCCTCCGACGCGCCTTACCTCTCGCACAAGCCACTGGCTGAGGGCGAGCCGTACCCAGCTGAGGACCTTCATGTTTCAAGGGAATGGAGATCTTTTCACCAGCATTGAGAGCGGGAAGGAGAGGAGGAAAAACTGGAGAGCCAGAGGGAGGGAGGAAGAGAGAAGGAGAGGTTGGAGGGAAAGATGTGGGGAGGCCGAGCGCTGCTGCTTAAGAAAGACCCCCCCCCTCCTCCTCAAAAAAAAAGAGAGAGAGAGAGAGAGAAGCAACCCTCGGGGTGGGGAGCGCGAAAGAGCTGAGCGGGAGAAGAAGGATGAGCAGCAGGTTCTCGGAGCAGCAGCCCAAGATGCACCGAGCCCTGACAGGAAGGGAGGGGGACAAATGCAGAAAGTTGACTCTGCACTTGATTGGGGACTGGGGGGGGGAAGCGGGGGGGGGCTCCTGCACAGGCGGGCGTTGAGTTCCACGTGCCCTGCCCAGGGAAAGAAAGGGGCGGGGTGCGGACCTTAAAAATCCCGAGTTTCACCAATCCCACCCTTCCCACTTCCCACGGCCGATCTGGAAGGGGGAGGGATTAAGGAAAGGGTCCTCTCTTACTCTGTTAAGAAGAGGCACGGGTGGGTGAGAGCAAGAAAATGGGGAGGGGGGTGTTTCTTAAGATAAGGGGTGCAGCAGTAGGGGATTTTGCAAAGGAAGATCTGTAGGTAGCTGGGTTGGTTCTGAACATGTGATCTCAAAGGAGGGCTGTGTGTGTGTGTCAAAGTTTACCCTCACCCATATATAGGATACTTGGCATAACTCTTGCCTGAGGTGGGAAGACTGCTTGGTGTCCAACCCTTTATTCCAACTGGCAGAATAAATATTGGAGGGAGTCAGAGGGATCCACAAATAGAAAAAAGTACGCTTTGAGCTTTGGAGGCTGTTTTCAGCCTAAGGTCATATCAAAGAAATGTATAAAAGCACATTTTCATCCCGATTTTCTTTCCGGGGTATGAAAACTGTGGATGAGTTTCTCCCATGGCTTCTATCCTGACTCAGGTGTGTGTGTGTGTGAGAGAGAGAGAGAGAGAGCCCTACATTTTAAGGAGACTTTACCTTAGTAACAGCACTCAATCAAAGCCTCTTTGAGACACACACCTCACTTTCTATAACATCTGGTGTATTTGAGATTTCAGAAGAGTAACAATTAAGAAAACAATGACCAGAAGGGCATTATGATAAATTTGTTCATCTGCCACCAGACTCGGTTAACAAACAGTATTCTCCAGCTTGTGGGGAGCTTTCTTCGCCTTTGCTATATTATTAAAAAAATCGGGAATTCAGCTTCCCCAGCAGATAATGGGTATATTTAGGCTTAAAGCAAAGTGACTATACATCCACCTGGTTATACCCCAGGTCACATAAAGAATGTGGCATCCCCCTGGATCTTCAAATGCAGGCAGACACACGTACCACAGAGAGGTATTTAGATGCCAGTCCTTCTAATTCAGAGTATAATTATTGCAGACTCTTAGTCTGCCCATTCCTGTCCTCCAAGCAGCATGAAAAGGTTGCCTTTTGCATATGCGGAAGGTGCTGTCTCATTGGCAGGCAGTAATTCTTTCATTTCAGCCCAAATAGGTATTCAAGGGTTATTTTTCTTTTCCCTCCCCTTGAAGGCTGACTTGGCTGTTTGGAGTGCATAAGCAGCGGAGGCAGAGGGTGACTGGGAGGGTGGGAAAGGAAATAGAAATGGGGGGCAGAAAGACGGAGAAGCCTCTGCCCCCAAGTCTCAGGTCTTTTGGCTGCTGGCACCAGCAGGTGCTTAGCCTTTAATTGGCCAGCTGGTTGGTTGGCAGCTGGTGCAGCAGGCACGCTGTTACCCCAACGGTGGCTGTCCAACCTGCTTGGCGTTTGGAAATGTTTGTTGGGGAGCTCATGCCCAAGCTGAACAATAGATCTCCCATTCAGCAGTTTTCCAGGCAAGGAAAGCATGGAGCTCGAGAAAAAGCTCAGATGCAGCTTGAGGTGGCAACAACTCACTTTCTCAATGCTGGGTGTATTTTGTGTGGCAAATCACTAGCTTTTAGCCCAGGGGGTCATGAACCATCCTCTAGACAGAAAAGGACTGGATGTTCTATCTGATTGCAGCCAATGAATGAATGAATGAATGAATGAATGAATGTGTTCCTATTGGTAAAACTGGATGCTTTTAGATCTGGTTCCAAGTATCATCAAACTGTCCACGTTTGTTAGTGTTCTTACTGAATACCCAGGTTATCCAGTATTTCTATTTCTTTAATTGTTGGG